GCTTCAACGCGGCGCCCTTCAACGCGGGGCCCTCGGCCGGCGCTCGGCCACGAGCGCGCCCCCAGGCGTCGAGGAGCGGGGGGGCCCGTGCCAAGGAACCCTGCTGGCCTCCAGGGTGCCCGAAACTCTTCGGGTTTCCATGGCTTTGCCCTGGGAGGCGGGACGCTCCCACACCAAAAGGCGATGGACGTCCTGGGGTCTCAGGGTTGGGTTTCCCGTGGAAGGTTTCTTGTGGTCGGGCCCCTACTGCAATCAGGGGCGAGTAGCCCAGATCATTGGATACAACATTTTTGTCGGTCGCGATCTGTGGCAACCGATCGGCCCTCCAAATCAGTCGCGACGGATCGTGACCGATCCCCAAGTCGGTCGCGACCGGTCGCCACCGAGCGGTCGCGTCCGATTGTAAAGACCCCCCCCCTCAAACCGTGGCTTGCTTATAGACCTACCACATAGGCTTCTAAGGATTTTTGGGTGGTTTGCACGACGGGTTCTTACGACATGTCTAGCTGAGAGCGTCTTGCTTCACACATCGGCCTTCTGTTCTAAGAACATCGCGATTGCTCTTAGAATTCCTTTTTGGCGTGAGAACATGTCGTTCGATTCTTCCAATTCGACTCGATTCGATGTCGGTGGTGTCCGATTCCGATTCGATGTAGATTCCGATGTGGATCTTGGTGTCTCCATGGAATGAGCCTGCCGATGTTCGCCCATTCGACTTCTCCCGACTCGGCTGCCGATTTCCGCCGATCCGATTCATGTCGATTGCCGGTCCGACTCGTCGCTTCGATTCTGGGCTCCCCTGCCCCCGCCTCCCGGCGAGGGGGAGGGGTTCTCAGAACATGCCGACGCCCTTGCTCGTGCTGGAGAGCGCAGCTGGGGAGTGCGGTCGGGTATTTTGGCCTCAGCGCGTCACGCCGCAGATTTCCTGGCCCACCGCGCTTCGGCGCCACACGCCATGGCCATGATCCTGTCCCCAGGCGTCAACGTCTCGAGTTTTTCGAGGCCTGCCGCCCCGCGGACCGGAGCGACACGCTCTCCGCTCGCATGTGGAACAGCGTGTCGCCGGGGCCGCCGCCGCGAAACGCGCCACGAAAAGGTACCGATGCCGCTGCTCGTCCTATAGAGAGCCTCTCGTCGCCGCGGCTAGATCCTCCTCGAAATTCGGGTCAGCGCGCACCCCGGAAGAGGTCCGGGGGAGTATAGCGGTGTCGGTATGTTTGTTTTGTTCCCGCAGGGACGGGGAGCGAGGCGAGAGAGAGAGTGAGCAGGGGGGAAGGACGAGGAGGGGGGATGGGGGAGGCAGGGGCTTAGCTGCGGGAGTAGGAGGATTCCAGAGGACTCCGGAAATCAGGAGCGAAAAGAAGACACGGACGCGACGAGTCTTTCGATTTCGAGGGACATACGGGGAAATATGGGAAGTGGGGGAAGGGGAAGCCGGGGAGGTCCGAGTGCTCCGGGGCGCGGGCTGGCGCGTGTTCGGCGTCCCGAGGTGCAGTGCTGACTGTGGGCCTAGCCTGGCGCGCTCACGCGGGCCTTCTCGGGCCTTGCGTACTGGGGGCAAGAGAAGTAGGGGAGGTGAAGAATGGTGCAGCTCTCGTGCCCCAGAGTGGCCCGAAAAGGGCCCCCGGCCCCCAGGGCCTAAAAAGGGCACGAAAGGTGCATGCTTCTCCCTTCCCCATTGTACCGCTCCCCCCCCCACTACGCAGCGCCCAACCCTCTTGCTGACTGTGCGCCCAGCCCAACGCGCTTCGAGGAGCAAACATTGGCATCAACGTACACGTTCGGAAATCCGCACAGAGTTCTCGGATCTGCGTTGGGCCCCCCTGGCGACGCCTCCGGTGCCGCCCCTGGCGGGCGCCACGCGTCAGGGAGGGGTGTTCAGCGCCGATCCGAGGAAGATTCGCGCGGACCTCCACGAAATTATGTTTGTGCCGTTTTTGTTATTCTATGACTGTGCGCCCGACCTGGCGCGTTATTGCGCGTCTTCGGGGGAGGGTCGCGTTCCCGACCTGGGCCGCTGGGCAGTCGTCGCTGCCGCCGTGGTCGCCGCCGTCGCCATCGTCGTCGTCGTCGTCGTGGTCGTTGTCGTCGTCGACGACGTCGTCGTCGTCGGCGCTGGCGTCGGCGTCATCGTCGTCGTCGTCGTCGTCGTCGTCGTCGTCGTCGTCGTCGTCGTCGATGTCGTCGTCCCCGTGTCTCCGAGGAGGGCCAGTTGAGAGAACGGTAGTTGGCCTTCGGGGGGCCCCCATGTCGCCACGGCTGGACGCAGCCCAGAACACTGGCGCGCTTGGTCCCCAGGAGGGGTCCATGGACCGATTTTGAGCTGCCGTTGTCTAAACCCGTCCTCCTCAGAGTGTCCCTCCAACTCCTCGTCCTCCTCCGTCGCCTTCCCCCTCTGGGCACCTCTGGGCACCTCCGCGGACCTCCAGCAGCCACTGACATCCTCGGCCACCTCCTCTCCTCCCCCCCCTCCTCCCCTCGTTTTCCTCGTCCTCCTACTTCCCTCCCTCCTCTCCTCGTTTTCCCCCTCCTCCACTCGCTTTCCCCCCTCCTCCTCCTTCCCTCGTTTTCCTCTCCTCTCCCCCCCCCCCTCCCCTCGTTTTCCCCCTCCTCCTCCTCCTCCTCCTCCTCCTCCTCCTCCTTCCCTCCCTCCAGTGCGGAGCAGGAGCATATCCACAGCTGGGCCTCCCCGTGCCCAGGCGGGGCCCGTGGGCGCCTGGTGGCGGTGTCTTGGATGCGGTGGCGGGCCTCCGCGAGGGCAGGGGGGGGCGACTTGGGAGCCCGCCCAGCCTCAAAGGCGAGGGTCGGAGGTGGACTCTTTTGAGGGTCGGGGACGACGCTGGGGTGGTGTGGTGTATATTTTTTGTTCTCCGTTGTCCTGGGGAAGCGACGAAAAATGTATGCACTAGGATCCCGTATGCACCATAATCCGCGTTCCTGTGCGAATTTCGTCGCAGGGTCGGGAAAAGCGTCGGTGTATGGAGTTCGGTTCCCTAGATAGACCTCCTACCCTGACACGTCGATTGAGGAATTGGCAGTTTTCGGTTCGCGAGAGGGCGTCGCGGCCGTCATTTTCGTGGTTCCAGGTCTGTCGGTTTCGGTCCCAGGCCGTTGTCGCTGAGGGGAGGTTTACGAAAGGGAGGTTTGTCCACCGCCGAGAGGGTCTTCGCGGAAGCTTCCGGGGCCCTCCCAGGGAGGCCCCCGCATTCTGAGAAGCCCTCCATGTCTTCTCAGGAGAATAAAGTAAACAAAAGGAAATTAAACAAGCAGAAGCCGTACCAACACCATAAACACATAAACACATAACAGCATACTAACAACAAACACATGGTAACACATACATTTTTTTGTATATGTATTCCTCTTCGAATATTCTTTTTATAGCGGAACCCCCCCCCTGACCCCCCCCCCCGTACATAAATTCGGCCCTGGGCGCTCCCACCGACGTGAAAATCGAATTTCGGCTTCGGGAGCCTCTCCCGGCTATCCCCGGACGGTCCCGCAAAGCCCGAGGACGGCCCACGACCGCTCCAGAACGGCCCATGAGCGCTCAAAAAGATTTCAGGTTGGCTTCAAGACGGCCCAACACGCTCCCAAAACGCCCCAAGAGGCCCCCAAGGAGACCCCCACAACGCAAAAATCGTCCCATTCCCTTCGGGAGACTTACAATTTTACCATATTCGCTTCTGTGGCCTTCACTGCGTCCAAGACGGCCCAAGAGGCCCCCAAGATCGCCCCAGGACGACCCAAGATACCCCCAAGAGGACCCCAAGACAGCCCAAAAGGGCTCCAAGACGGCCCAAGAGAGCTCCAAGACAGTCCCAAAAGCCCCAAAAGGCGTCCAAGCGAGCCCCAAGAAGGCCCCAAGAGGCGCCCAAGAATGTTCCGTAACCATTTTGGCTCAAGCGATATTGGCTCAAGCTATACAGCCTCACGGCGGACGTTGTCGCGGTGTCTGCGCAGCCCCCACCCCGCTGCATGGAGATGTACTTCCCGAGCAGGTGGTCCTCGTCGGCGCTCTCGCTCTTCCTTCTGCTGCTGCACTCGGGCGCCCTGGCCGCCGGCTCGTCTCGCGAGGTGGTCGGCGAGGGGTCCTGCGGGGACGAGCAGGACGACGGCGTCGCCCTGCTCATGCACATGCGCGCGGCGACGAAGGAGGCTGAGAACTGCTCCAGTCTTGCCAGCAACTCGCCGCTGGTAGAGGAGGTGCTGAGCAGCGCGAAGATCCCCCTCACCGGGCAATCCACGGGCAATCCGCCGTACGAGGCCACGGTGCAGGAGCCCTTCGGCCAGTCCTCGCCCGTCTTCCCTCCGCAGGACGTGATGTACGGCTCGGGCCAGGAGGCCATCGAGCAGGACAAGAGGCGCTGCGCGAAGAAATTACACGATGGAAGACTTCGACGCCGCTTGGGACTACTTGGCTTGTGAGCTCAACCGTCTCTTCAGCAACCCGACGGTGGCAGCGGCTTTTGACAGGGCCATCCAGGGCTTGGAGCCCATTGTCAAAAACGCGGACAATCCGCCCCAGGCCTTCCCGAACCCATGGATCGGAGCGTCACAGGCGGATTTCGTGGAGTTCATGCGCTCGTACTTCCTCATGCTCCCCGGACCGACTGGCAAGGACAACGGTTTTTCGTAATCCTCAAGATGAACTTCCTCCAGCGCCGCAACCAGGCGGCGATTGATCTCTTCAACAAGTTCAAAAGCCAGACGCCTCCGGCGACCACGGCCACCACAGAGTTCTTCGATTGGACGTACAAGTGGGTCACTCTGAGGGGCATGTATATGGACTCGAAAGCCTCCCTTGCTACGGTTGCGCGGTGGGTGGAGTACGTCAACGACCCTGCTCAGGCCAACAACGTCCGGGGGAACATGTCTGCCTACGAGGGCTACGATCCCGACGACCCCCCGGCTACGGCTACAATTCCTTTAACCAGTACTTCTCGAGGATCTTCAAAGATTACAACAAGAGCAGGCCCATCAGTCAGCCAGAGGACAAAATGGTGGTCACAGCCCCAGGGGACGTGTTGATCAATTTTATCATCAATTATCTCACGAACCAGACCAGGCTGCCCGTGAAGGGGAGCGACTTCAATGTCAAGGAGCTGCTGAACGGCTCCGCGCTGGCCTCGAAGTTCATCGGTGGTACTGCGGTCTCCAACGTGCTCGAGCCTTACGTTTACCACAACTTCCACGCCCCCGTGGACGGGCGCCTCGTTAAAGCGGTGGACGTGCCAGGTTATTTCTTCGGCATCCCGGACGGCATGCGGTGGTTTGGCAGCGAAGACACTGGCAGCTCGGACACGGACTTCGGCGTGTTCTCGGGCTTCCACCGCCTCGTATTAATCTACGACACCGGCCCGTATGGATTGGTGGCGCAGGTGGCGGTCGGCTTGGCGGACGTGAACACCATCTGCCCCACGGTGAATGCTGAGATGCCTTCGGTGCCTCCTGGCTCTTGCAGCGGCGCTTCGTGCCCCGAGGTCAGAAAGGGCGAACGCATGGGGTTCTTTCTATGCGGCGGGTCGCTGAACATCCTCCTCTTCCAGCCTGGCGTGTTCGCTTCCCAGGACCTCCCCATGGGCAACCGCCTCGGCAGCATGAGCGCCATATCATAGCCTCCCCCGCCCTGAGCGTCATCAAGCGAATGCGCAGCTGGAGTACCCGTGAGGTCAAGCGGCACGGCTCTGAGAGGTTGTGGGGGGGCAAGCCAGATTCGAGGAGGTTTGTCCACCGCCGAGCTGAGGCGCCACTGTTCTCGCACTGCGCCTTTTTAGGTCGCGGGAGGGTCGGCCAGCCGCATCGGTCAGTTGGCCTGCCCGCCCCGCGTGCTCCGACCTTTCGGAGCCACTCATGCTATGATTTGAAGTCCCCCCCTTCCCCCTTCCTCCTCCTCTTTTCTGAGCCCTCCTTCCTTCTTCTCCACCTCTTCCTCCGTCCGTCAGTCTTGCGCCTCGCATGCCAAGTTGACTGGTCTGAGCATTGCTTGGTCCGAGCGTGGCCTCGGCATTGGCATTGGCTAAGCCCTCACCAGGTGCATGGCTGGCCAGCCTTGCCCGCCACCTCCCCTCCCCTCCCCTCATTGCGCCGTTGCCAAGCATATGATCTTTTTTCCTGCAGTCGAGCTTGCACGACGTGGTCGTGTATCGTGGCGCAGTCGAGCCGAGTCAAACATGGTTCCGTGCTGGCGCGGTCCGATTCGACAAAGGTTGCGAGAGGTGGGGAGGGAGAGGTTGGGGGGGGGGCAAGCCAGATCCGAGGAGGTTTGTCCACCGCCGAGCTGAGGCGCCACTGTTTTCGCACTGCGCCTTTTTATGTCGCGGGAGGGGCGGGCAGGCCGCGTCGGTCAGCTGGCCTGCCCGCCCCGCATGCTCCGACCTCTCGGAGCCACTCATGCTATGATTTGAAGTCCCCACCTTCCCCCTTCCCAACCTCCTCCTCCCCTCTTTTCTGAGCCCTCCTTCCTTCTTCTCCACCTCTTCCTCCGTCCGTCAGTCTTGCGCCCCGCATGCCAAGTTGACTGGTCTGAGCATTGCTTGGTCCGAGCGTGGCCTCGGCATTGGCATTGGCTAAGCCCTCACCAGGTGCTGCCATTCTGGCTGGCCAGCCTTGCCCGCCACCTCCCCTCCCCTCCCCTCATTGCGCCGTTGCCAAGCATATGATCTTTTTCCTGCAGTCGAGCTTGCACGACGTGGTTGTGTATCGTGGCGCAGTCGAGCCGAGTCAAAAATAAGAGGCGCCCAAGAATGTCCCAACGTGGCCGAATCCCCCCAGGACGGCCCAAGAGGATCCCGGGACAATTCCGGAGAGCCGCCAGACAGCCCAACAGAGTCCCAAAAGGAGCCCCACGAAGGCCCCGACATGCCATATTATTTGATTTCCGCTAACATGCTCCGCACTGTTTCTGTCTCCAACGCCGCCGCCCCGGGGGGCCTCGGGACAACCCCGGAGAGCCGCCAGACAGCCCAAAAGAGCCCCACAAGGAGCCCCACGAAGGCCCCGACATGCCATATTCATTGCTTTCCGCTACCATGCTCCGCATGATTTTTTCTTCCAACGCCGCCACCCAGGGGGACATCTACGTCGCCGATGTTTTGGCTTCGGTCCAGGAGCCGACACTTTCCCCGATCGCACGCTGCCCCGTGCATAGGCTCCTGCCCTCTGCCCCCTCAGAGCCCTTCCAGCTTGAAGACTCTATGAGCCACATAAGGCCCAAGAGCCATATGAGTTCAATGAGCTCTACGGCCCCTCGTCCTCGTCTTCATTGTCGCCGTCGTCGTCTTCGTCGCCGCCGTTGTCGTCCCCCATGAGACCTACAGGCCTATCAACCCCTTCAGCCTTATGAGCCCTGCGAGCCCTATGACACTCAAGACCCCATATGGGCCCCGACATCCCTATGACCCCCGGGACCCCTGCGACCTCTCTTTTCCCTACGAGCCCTACGAGGCCTGCAGTGCCCTATGTGTTTTGCGAGCCCTATGAGTCCTGCGAGCCCTAATGCCTACAAGCCGCCTCGTGAACCCTACCAGCCCTACGACCTCAATTACCCTATAACCCCTACCAGCCATATGAACCCTGTCGACCTCATGAGCCCTACGACCCCTGTGGCGGCTCATGCCCCTGCGACCCCCATCCGCCCTATGAGATCTACGAGCCCCGCGGTGCCCTATATCCCCTCCGAGCTCCATGAGCCCTCCATTGCCCTGTGCGCCCTACGAGCCCTACGACCCCAACTACCCCTACAGCCCCTACCAACCATATGAGCCCTCTCAGCCCTGAGAACCCGAACGCCTACAAACCCCGCGAACCCCGTCAGCCCCACGAGACCCACGGGCCCACAAGCCCCGCGAGCCCTGCGAGCATACGAGCCCTACGAGCCTCACGGGCACACGAGCTCACGAGCCCTACAAGCCTACAAGCCGACGAGCCTTACGGGCCTACGGGCCCTACGAGCCCCACGGACCTACGGGCTCTACGAGCTCTACAGGCCCACGAACTCACGAGCCCTGCGGGCCTACGGGCCCTGCGAGCCCTACGAGCCCCACAAGCCCTACGAGCGTACAAGGCCCACGAGCCCTACGAGCCCTACGGGCCTACGAGCCCAGAGAGCCCACGAACCCTGGGCGCCCTACAAACCCATCATCCCGGTGAGCGCTGCGGGCCCGACGAGTCATCCGAGCTCAAAGGCCGCGCGAACCGCGCGAGCCCCGCGAGGCCGAAGAGCCCCACGAGGTCACGAGCCCTACGAGCCCTACGCTCCCCATGCGCCCCAGGAGCCCATGACCCCTACACGCGCCTTAGGCGTCCGACCCCTATTCCCCAACCAACCCAGCGAGTCCCACAAGCCCATTGACCCCTGGAACCCCGTAGGCCCCACGCGCATGGCGAAACCAGTGAGCCCCATGACCCCTCTGAACCACACAATCTACGCGCACCGTGAGCCCTGTGTGCCCACGAACGCTTGCGCCCCACCCACGCCCCACGAGTCGATCGCGAGCCCTCCGACCTCATGGGCCCTGTGAGCCCCATGAGCCCTACGAGCCCTACGGGCCCCACGAGCTCACGCTCCATGAGCCCCATGACGTCCGTGAGCCGCGGCCACCGAGCGACCACTACGACCCTTCAAGCCCCGCGAGCCCCACGAGCCCCCATGAGGCCCACGACACATAGCAGGCCAAACAAGCCCCACAGTTGGTCGCAGCGAGCTTTCCAGGCGCCATGCGACCAAGATTTTAAAGGCGAAGCGAAGCGAGCCGGTAAAATCTTGTATATTTAATCGCTTCGCTCATTCCGCCGGCCCGTATTGCGCACCGCGGTCGACTGGATGAGAGGTCGTCGGCAGTGCGGAGCTGCAGGGAGCGGGGGCTGTTTTTTTTGTTGAGTCGTTGCGTTCGGCCTTTTGTGGTGAAGATGCCCCGGTGGAACAGGTTCGTGTCGATTCGTGGCGACCGTCTGTGGGGGTGGCGGGGGAATTGGGGCCTCTTTTGGGCCTCTTGGGCGCCTCTTGGGGCGTCTTGGGGGCCTCTTGGGGGTCTCTTGGGGCCTCTTTGGGACCTCCTGGGCGGCTTCTGGGGCGGAGGGCTCGATTTTTCAGTTCTCTGTATCCCTCTTGAGCCCCTCTTGGGCCCGTCTTGGGGCCTCTTGGTCCGTCTTGGGCGGCACTTGGGCCGTCTTGGGGGCCCTCTTGGGCCGTTTCGGGGCCGTCTTGGGAGCTTCGTGGGCCGTCTTGGAGCGATCTTGGGCGCCTCTTGGGTCGTCTTGGAGCGTCCGGAAGCCGAAAAAGCCAGAACGCAAAAAACATTGGAAAAACCAATGAAAATCAACGATTTTGGCCTCTTGGGGCCCTCTTCGGAGGCCTCTTGGAAGGCTCTTGGGGCGTCTTGAAGGCCTCTTCGGCTGTCTTGGGGGTCTCTTGGGCCGTCTTGGGGTCATCTTCGGCGCCTTGGAGCGCTCTTTGAACGTCTCGGGGGCCTCTTGAGCAATCTTGGGGGCCTCTTGGGGCACTCTTGGCGCGCTCAGGGCGGCCTGAGAGGCCGCACCCAGAAGGAAAACCATCTCTGAGTTGAACCGGGCGGGACCTTCCCAGGCGGCGGGCGGGGTACTTTTCGCCGGGGGACCCCCAGGGGCCGCCCCGCGCGCGCGAACTAGTACAATACAATTGTTAACCAGTTACCGGAGATCTTAGCACGCCTCTGGCCCGTTGGGCCGGCGAATTTATATATACATACACATATAAAGAAGACTTCCATGCCTTCTCAGAAGGTCGCCCCCCTCGCGCCCCCCCCCTGTGTGGGCGCCGCCAAAGCCAGGATGTTTCGATCAGACCTGGACAATGGAGCTCTGCTGCGGCTTCGGCTTCGGCGACAGGGGCAACGAGCGCTGCTGGCTGCCGCCCAATTTCACCTTCGAGACCTGCTGCGTCCAGTCGGTGGTGGCCGTGAGCGACGTCAGGAGGTACATGGACGGGTTCATGGACTGGCACTCCGACCTCTTTCCGCCAGTGCGCGAGTGCCGGTCGAGCCCGTCACGTGAGTCGAGCGCTCCAGAAAGGCGGGACGACGGCTACTGGGGGCCCCTGCACGCCGATCTGGGCTACGACCCGCGGATCATCGTGGATGTCGGGGGAGGCACAGGACAGGGCTGGACCTAAACGCTATTTTGCTGGACTTCGGCCGTGGTTTGTTTTTCCCGGAAAGGGCTCGAGCCCAGGGTTCTCTTTTAGTGGGTTCACCTCCCGGTTCTTACTTGAAGGGGGCCGGCGAATGTCTTGTGCGATAAATTACTAGGTCGAAGGGGGCCGGCGAATTAAAATTGTGAGGACGAAGGCCATTTTTCGCCACCCCTCACGCAGATCGTGCTCTTGGAATTTTACTGCCTTTAAGGAAACCTCGATATTTCACAGGTGAAGTCAACTTTTTTCCGACATCGACTTTAAACGATAAAAAACGAGGTAAACGCGTTCGCTCGATAAATAACGAGGTACCGCGGCCTCCGGAACGGCGCTGGGAACGGAGTTTTGGATTCTTGAAGTTGCATAAGTTTGGAAATAGCAAAAATCCCCTGCGTTTTTTGACCCTGACCCCGTGAGGGGTGGCACCGAATTTCAGAAATGTGGCAAATCCCGTGTGTTTTTGGACCCTGACCCGCGGATCTGCGTGAGGGGTGGCACCGAATTTCAGAAATGTGGCAAATCCCCTGTGTTTTTGGACCCTGACCCCGCGGATCTGCGTGAGGGGTGGCACCGAATTTCAGAAATGTGGCAAATCCCTTGTGTTTTTGGACCCTGACCCCGCGGATCTGCGTGAGGGGTGGCACCGAATTTCAGAAATGTTGCAAATCCCCTGTGTTTTTGGACCCTGACCCCGCGGATCTGCGTGAGGGGTGGGTGGCACGGAATTCCAGAAATGTGGCAAATCCCGTGTGTTTTCGGATCCTGACCCCGCCGACCTGCGTGAGGGGTGGCACCGAATGTCAGAAATGTGGCAAGTCCCATGTGTTTTCGGACCTTGACTTCGCCCAGGAGGGCCCATGAGTCCCAGGAGAGCCCAGGAGAGCCCAGGAGGGCTCAGGAGAGCCCAGGAGGGCCCAGGAGGATCCAGGAGGCTCCAAGAGGCACCAGGGGGCCCAAGGAGGGCCCAGGAGAAGCTCCAGGAGGCTCCAGGAGAGCCCAGGAGGGCCCAAGAGGTCCAAGGAAGACCCAGGAGGGCCCAGGAGCCCTTACGAGGGATCGTGGCCCTGGGAGCGCTGACGTGCCGTGGGGGGCCTCGTGGGGGGCCAGAATTCAAAGGATGTCTCAGGCAAAATGCTTGTTTTCACGTCCCGCTCGCAGGAATTCCGAGGATGTCTCGCGCGTGCCGCGTCCCGCGCGCAGGAATTTCGCGGATGTCTCGACTAATTCGTTTGTTTTGCCAGGATTTCCTTGGATTTTGGCAGGATGTCTCGAGCGAAACGTTTGTCCCCAGCACGTTCCGTAGCGCGTCCCCTTGGCACGTCCCGCGGTGCGTCCCCATGGCACGTCCCTTGGCACGTCGCTGGGCGCGTCCCTTGAGACGTTCCGCGGCGCGTCCTCCTGGCATGTCCCCCTGTCAATTAGCTCTGGGGCAGCTACTCTGTGTTCAGGCAGCTGGAGCTTAAGATCGAGATCAGCTCGGTCAGGACTCGGATGCAAAGAAGGACTCGATCCACGAGGCTATAGAGCACAATCGCGGCATGGCGCATCGCAATTCAGCACGGCGCAGCACAGCACAGCCCTCGGCACGGTACATCAAGATCGATACACTCAGCATTGCAACTTGGCACGTTCCTTGGCACGTTCCGTGGCGCGTCCCCTTGCGAGTCTCCCTTGCACGTCGCGTGGCGCTGGCACATCCCGTGGCACATCCATTGGCACGTTCCGTAGCGCGTCCCCTTGGCACGTCCCGCGGTGCGTCCCCATGGCACGTCCCCTGGCGCGTTGACTGGCGCGTCCCCTGGGACGTTTCGCGGCGCGTCCTCCTGACATGCTCCCCTGTCCATCAGCTCTGGGGCAGCTACTCTGTGTTCAGGCAGCTCGAGCTTAAGATCGAGATCAGTTCGGTCAGGACTCGGATGCAAAGGAGGACTCGATCCATGATGCTGTAGAGCACATTCGCGGCATGGCACATCGCAATTCAGCACGGTGCAGCACAGCACAGCCCCCGGCAGGGTACATCGAGATCGATACACTCAGCATTGCATTTGCCCGTCACCCAATCAGGTGTCTTTGAAAACGCTGCCATGTGTTACAGTTCTATATTCCTTTCCGGGTTCGTGGGTCGATCATGTTCGTTTTTGGCAGGGAGGTACAGAAAAACAGGCAGAGCAGAACGGACAACAGAACGACAACAACACGAAACACAACGTTTAGGTGATCGTTTTGTTTATTAATTGTTTTGCCGAACGTCGCGGGCCCTCGCCCCCCCCCTCCCCCCCTCTTTGGAGCAGATCTTGGCCGCTTTGGGCGCCTGTTTTGAGCGGGTGGAGCCTCCCCCAGAGGCAGCTTTCTTGCAAACAGTCGCACTGAGCAGAGGTCCAGAGCCAGACCCCCTCCTCCCCCCTCCCATTCCGCCCAATGTCGAAACGTCGAATAAAAACGCTCACCTACTCTCCCTCGGCGCTATACTCGAATCGGCCGGAGGGATTTGCATTACTTTTTTGACTTCGGCTGTGTTTTTCCCGGAAAGGGCATAAGCCCAGGGTTCTCTTTTAGTTGGTTTACCTCCGGGTTTGACTTGAGGTGGGCCGGCGAATTTCTTTTGCGATACATATCGAGGTCGAGGTGGGCCGGCGAATTAAAATTTGAGGATGTCCCTAGCGAAACGCTGATTTTTGAAATCGCGATTGATAAATCACAGGGTGCGGGACACGTTTTGGTCAGGGGCATGGATTACGTAATGCCTATAGATTGGCCCCATCCAGGGGTACGTAATTGTTCCTATAGATGGGCCCTCTCGTACCTATCGATTGGCTCTCTCCAGGGGCACGAGTACGTGTATGTTTTACGTATATTCCTATAGATTTGCCCTCTCCAGGAATACGTGTGTTCCCATAGATTGGCCCCATCCAGGGGCACGCATGCGCTCCGTAGCCATTTTGGCTCAAGCCATTTTGGCTCAAGCCATTTTGGCTCAAGCCATTTTGGCTCAAGCCGTTCCCTTTCTGTTCGCTCTCGTTTTGGGCCCCGCGCGAGGCCGCAGTGATCGGACGCTTGGGGAGATGGCTGTGGGCGGCGGCCAAGCAGCCCGCGAGGCTGCTGAGCCGCCATGCGCTGGGGGCTCCCTCTGGCCCGCGAGGCGCTCCAGGCAGGCGGCGGCTCGCGCTGCCTGCGCTGGGCGGCTGCAGGCGGCCCTGGCGCGGGTGACCGACCTCGAGGCGGAGTGCGCGCGGCTCCAGGCGGGGCTGGGCCACGCGCTGGACGCTAGCCAGGCGGTGGCCACGGCTGCGGCGCGCGCATCCGCGCAGGAGGCCCGCGGCTCCGCGACCCCTGCGGCGGATGCTGTCCATGACGGTGGTGGTCTTCCTGGTGCTGGCTCTGGCGGCGACGTCGACAGCTTGTGCGAGGACTCCGCGGACCTGGACGGCAAGAGGGACCCGCCGCTCCGCGCCTCGGTCCCCGAGGTCGTCGCAAGGCTGGCGCTGGTCGCGCCCGTCATGGCGGCGGACCTCTTCAACGAGCCTGCAGCCACCCTGGACGTCGGGCGTCGGAACGTGGTCTGCCACAACCCGACGATCTCGGCGGCGGAGGTGCGCAGGCTATCTCAGCGGGCGCTCAACCGCCTGCAACGCTCGGCTGCTCCGAGGGCACGGCGGGGTCGGCATGGGGGGCAGCCTCTTCACGGTCGCAGCGCTGGTGTTCGCGGCCGTGGAGCTCTTCCTCCTCTTCGCCCTGCTGGTGCTGGGCCTCCGGTGCGGCTGCGGCCGCCTCGCGGGGCTTCCGGCGCCCTGCCCCACCGGCGCCAGCCCGCGGCTCGCTCGGCCGCCGAGGGCGTGTCGGCTTCCTGGGAGGTCGCCTGCCGCCGCGGGCGCAGCCTCCCAGCGGGCGCCCGCTTCGCTCTCGCTGATCGGGCGCGTCTTTCGGCTGCCCACGTGCCCGCCCCGCTCGCCTCGGGGCCCCGATGGTGGAAAGGGGACCTCGAGCATGCGGAGCAGGGCTCGGCCAGGCAGCTTGCCTGCCACGAGTTCGGAGGCGACCTGAAGGAGCTGGACGGCTTCAACCACTCCGCGGCGTGCGCGAGTGCGGCCTCGAGCGCGCCCCCTTCGGCTCGTGACTCGGACTTCGTGGCGGCGGAGGGCCCCGAGGCTCTCATCGTCGGCGCTGCGGCTGACGACGTCGACGACGGGCAGGGAGACGCCTCCGTGGTGTTCATTTCGGCCGACGGGCTCGAGGAAGGGCCCGAGGAGGATGTCGTGGAGGAGGCGCACGGTGGCATGCTGGAGCTGGTGGTGGGGGACGCCGCGGCCCTCGCGCCCGCTCCCCAGCTTGGTGCGGCGGTTCGTGCTCGCCTTCGCCTCGATCGTCTCCGACTTCAGGTCGTCAAGGGTGCCGCGGTGCCCATCGACGACCGCGACCTCCGCAGACCTGGCTGGCAGGCCGCCGATGCCGCAGCTGGGGTGGAGGTGCCCCCGACGCCTGCCCAGCAGCGCGAGGGGCTCCGCTGGGTGAGACGGCTTCTCGCTGTTCCTGGGGCCTGGCACGGAGGCGCGGTCTGGGAGCCTGAGTCCATCGAAGAGGCGGCCAGACGCATCGACGGCGAAGGCTCGCGCCGCGCCCGCCGTGCCGCTCGCTGACCCAGCGCGCCCGCTGCCGCGGCGACACTCCTCGAGCTGTTGCGGTAGCCTCTGGGCGCTTTTCTGCTTCTCACCTTTTGTGGGAGGCGCCGCATTGCCCTTGCCATCTATCTTGCAAGCGTGCCTGCGGCTGGCCGCATTTTGCGGCTCTCGCCTTCGTGGCGGCAGGATCGGCTCGTGCTGCACGGGCTGCCTTGTCATTATAAAAAAGGGGCACGCATGCGTGTGTTTTTTTACGTATGTTCCTATAGATGGGCCCTCTCATTACCTATAGATTGGCCCTCTCCAGGATTACGTGTGTTCCCATCGATTGGCCCTCTCC